CATTAGCCCGACATCTCGTTTGGAACTGGTCCCTCATTTTGGTCATAGCAAACCTTGACGTCACGTCTTTTGCCATCCAATACTTTGTGTTCCTTTAATATTACTCTTTTTTTCTAACTTGCTTTCTTCCATTTTTTTACTTGACCAATCGTTGCCATCGCAAATGGAGATTCATAAACATGTCTGAGCTTTGATAGCTCAATTCCATCCCTATTGTTAGCCTCACTGAAGGCAACCTTTCTTAACTGTAGACCAGACATTGTGGTCCATTCAGAGTTAAACCGCAGCGCTCGTTGAACCTCAGTGGTCTCCAAACTTTGCCCTTAATCTGTCTTTTTGTCACGCTTCATCGTCGCTTATGGGCCATAAACTCCCATTTTTCGTATTTCCAATCTCTTTACTGAACTTTCTCATCTTTACCTGTTATCTTACTGATTCTGTGGAGACCATAAGCATCCTGGCTGGTCAGTAACATAATCGAGGCAGATACTTACAATTCCAAAGATAGAGTTGATATTTTATCAAGGGCTAACATATGTTGAGCTTTTTATATTGTGGAACCAATGCTGATCAAAAGAAACTGTTCAAAACAAGCCGATGCTTTGTATGCCCACTTGATACATGTCTACAATGGCATCTAATTAACAAAAGCCTATTCCAATTAGTAATCACATTACATTTCCTGTATTTTTATCCCGAATTTTGCTCCTCGTAAAGATGACCTAGGGTTTATGAGTGGAGCCTGCAACCAAGCATGCCTCTTCATTCTCATACATTAATATTCATAATTTATTTTGAAATGCGATCTCCTCATAAAGTCTTGTCACTTATTTTCTTCAATTATTCTAACCATATTTATTCAGTGCATCCCGGAAAAGCGATACCTTTTACACAGCATAAGAGGACGCATGTGAATGATACTGTCTACATAGTGAAGATTAAAAAATTGCAGTGGCAGTTGCAAGCTCATAAACGTTTTTTTTCAGGCTTACTCTTAGCTGACTGCCATTTTACTTTTACATTCAATAGTTTACCAAGGCTGATAACCGTCGCCTTTAATAGTTGAGAGCTCTTATTAAATTAGGACAATACACTTTGAGGAGCACTAGTGCACTCTGTAAATTGTTTTCTTCTGACATCTAATGACATGACCCTGTTTTATCCTAATTTTCATTCTTGATTTGTGTGCTTTAGAAGCAATTATTTTCAATACTACCTTTTCTTGGTCGAATTATGGAGTGGTTTTAGGAAGGCCTATTTGATTTCTGCTCTTTTATTTGAAGCAAAATCCAGCCTGTCCCTTGCCCTCCTTGCCCTTCTAAAAGGATATTAAATCTTAATTATCCGTCAAATAATTTTTTTCCAGCCAGCGGACTTATATTCTTGCCGAGGCTTGAAGGTACACATTTGCTCTGAGGTTAACTTCAGTTTTTAAATTCACTTCCAGGTGATAGATGTGGATTGCTTCATAATATGATTTTGTCCTGTCCGAACATTTGACATTCAGCATGACTGTTCTGAGTGCTAGCTGGATAGATCAATTAAGGTACGGAAAGGGAGCTTGCACTGCATCCTCTACTTATTTCTTCCTCTCTCGGCCTTTCACATATTGATCTCTTCTGGGAAGCCCGATTTTTGTTGACTCAAAGGATGCTTGAGCTTGGGTGAGAATGGATACTTTCTTTCGACTCTTTTTGTTTTTCGGAGCTCTGATACTTGGTTTCTAAGGCTCCTAATCCTGATCGGGGGCAAGACATGTGTCTTTGGGCGATGTTAGCCCAACGTTTTCCTATGACATGAAGTAATCTGACAATTTTTATTCTCTTGGCATCCACTTACGCCTCTTTTGCCAAGCCTTGTTGGGATGCTCACCATTAACTAGGGAAATCCGGTACGATAGATTTGAAGTCTGTCTTTCTAGCCTAGTTTCGGCCCTTGTTGCCGCACCTCATACCGAACTTTATCTCTTTTGATTTAAAGAAGTGGGTTGACCAAACCTGCGACCATACCAGAGACCACAACATCTTGGTCTTCATATCTTTATCTCTTTCCTTTATTGATGATCTATTAAGACTATGGTCACGCTTTCTGATCGGTTCTTGAATTTGCCTCTAAAAATCTGTCTTAACTTGGATGGCTATCCTCTGTTAACCATCCATCCTAGCTTTATGCTGGAGTGTATAGCAAATAACTTTGTCAGGGATACGATTATCGCAGATGCTTGCACGTTCCGACTGGCCTGTGCTGATCTCTTGTAAAGTGCAACCGTTTTCTTCGGTGTTGAGATGTGGCCATATCCCTGCATTAAACCGTAAGCCAGGACTTACGAGGTTTGTACTCCTGATTATGCTTTCCTTAGGTATTTGAAAGGAACCTTTGAATAACTTTTTCATAAATTGTTTTAATAGTCCATGTGCCTTCTCCTATGAAGGCTGGGCATTTTTCTGTCTATGTTAGTGGTCACTTTTTCCCCACTATTCGTTAATGACTTATTTGTTTAAATTGGTATACAATGGATTCGCAACTATGAATTTCGCAACTAATGGCATGTATAAAAACTGTGTTTCGAAGAATCCCTTAATAGATTGATGTTGGAGTACCTTTCATTTCGCTTTAATAGGCGAGTGGAAGGGATTCGTAAGTTAGTTCCACTGGAGGCTAAGGGTGGGGGTTGCCTAGGAGCTGTGGTTGTAGATTCGTGCGAACGGGCCCTAGGCGCACCTCCCAGCGACCCCGATGAATCCTTGCTGATTTTTTGTTCGTCATGTGACGAACATCGTTAGAGCAGGACACCATGATTAACGATAATTCACCCAAAACACTAAGACTAGAAAGGTGGCCGGCTTCAAACCTACTTCCTTCTTATAGTCCTATGCTTTGTCTATGTTTACTTATAAGTTAAGTTAAGTGGCTGCGGATGACATGTGAAGTGGCTACAGATGAAGCGTGAAATATGTGCAATTGAAACAGAACAGCTGTATACTCCCCTTAAACACTTATGCCGTATGTGATTGCATCCCATTGCACGCGTGTTGCGTGAATGCATTATTCTTGAAATGAGTGTGATGTGGTGAAATAATTCTTATGAATTCGTTAACTTAGTTGACGAGCAGGAGATATAAAGTGGGAATTTGCTGGTAAGTTTAGATTCTGAGTCTATGCACACTAACATTCCTTTAGATGACGCCATACAGGCCCTATACTCCACACTAGACCAACATGCGGAGATTTTAATGAGCACGAAGTTAAGTAAAGGCTCAATAATGACGCTAACCAACATAGCGATGTACTGTACATATTTTACCTTTAATGGTAAACTGTACGAACAAACACGAGGTTTGGCTATGTAATCGTGTTTGTCTCGAGTTTTAGCAAATAATTAAATGGCTCAATCTGAGGAACACTTAATTAGAGGGACATTTTTAGTTCCCAAATTATTTAGTTTGCTATTTGGCAACATGGCAAAGAAAACCCGGAGAATTTTCTTGATTTGATGAACAGGATTGATGGGAAGACGAAATTCACCTTCGAGTTAGAAAATGAATGTAGTTTACCCTTTCTTAGCGTCCTAGTTAGCAAAGAGGGACCAGATTAGGTAGAGATATGTATAAGCAACCCACAAATGCAGCTATCCTTTTGAATTTCTTCTCAAATCACGCTTATGGGGTTAAAGTAGGAGATATGAAGTCTGCTAATATGGAGCCTGCGTCTGGTAGATGTTAAACATTAGGACCAGGAACTGAGGAGACTAAGGAGAAATCTTGTTCAGAATAATTATCCAGGAGGGCTGGTTGACAATTATTTTATAATATTGTCAAATAGGATGAAGGGAAATACATATTTGGGGCTAGATAAAAAGATAGATCACTCTACCAGAATTATTATGCTGCCATTGTGTAATCTGTCGAAGAAGAGAGACGAATTACTGTTGAGGTGGGGCATCAGGATCATGTATAAAGAGAAAATAACACTTTCGTCGGTATTGTCTCCTTTTCGAGAATACTCTGACCCGCTCTCCAGTTCGGACTGTTACAAGATTTTATGTTCATATGGTTGTGCCTATGTAGGAGAGACCTGTAGGCCAATACATAAGAGGTTATCCGAACACAAAGCAGCCTACAAGGGTATGCGAGTCCAAAAATCGTAATTGGCCGAATACATGGCTAGCACGGGACACCAGATGCCAAACACTTAGCTGGATATGGAGACTATACCAGTAAGAGAAAGATTAGGGAGGCGATAGAAATCAACAAAACAGCCACCACCCTGAATAGGAGGAATAGGTGTAGAAAGTTAAGCGGAAAATACTTATGGCTGTTGAATAGGTTTGAGGGAGAGAGAGGGGGGGAACAAGAAGTACCACCGAGCAAGAGGAGGCTTGATTAGGCTGGGATCTGGTTTTAACTCTCACATCACACAACAGGCGTTCAATGGGACACAATCGTATGCGGTAACATTACAGGATCAAAGGCATATGTTTTTTAGGGGAGGATGCAGCTGTTCGGTTTCAATTGCATCTCTTTCACGCTTTATCTGCAGCGACTTCACATGTCATCCGCAGCTACTTACTTTAACTTATGACAAACATATAGGCAAAGCATAGGACATCCAGCCAAAACATGAGATGATTAAGTGGACCAAATTTGACTAAAAGAGGGAAGTAGGTTTGAAGCCAGCCACCTTTCTAGTCTTCGTGTTTTTGGTGAATTATCGCTAACCCTGGTGTCCTGCTCTGACGATGTCCGTCACATGGCGGACGAAGGCTCAGCAATGATTCATCGGGGTCGCAGAGTGGTGGGCCGAAGGCTCCAAGGCAACCCCCCATAGCCTTCAGTGGAACCAACTTACGAATCCCTTCCACTCGCCTCTTCAAACGAAATGAAAGATACTCCAATATTTCTTATTAATATTTATTCCCTGCAATATTTGATTCATTCTGTTGTATTGTTTATATGGGTTACTTGCTGCTTTTTTACTTGCTTCCTAGGCCGCAGCATTCCATGTCGGTGACTAATCAAGAGCAGGATGATGTTTCTCTCTCTCAACTCAGCTTGTCTGGAAGTGGAGGTAACATCGGTGTCTGCAACCAAAAATCTAACCTCCATGGTCATATAGGGAGCCATGGAAGTGTTGTGGGTGCCACTGGAGTTGCTATTGGATACGATATTCGGGGTTCTGGTGGTGGCGCTATCGTTGGTGGGACTCCGCAGCACTCGGCCAGTGGCTGGCCAAGTGGACTGCGATCCGATTCTCCTACGCCTTCTCAGCTATCCACAGTAACACAAGCCACATTATCTACTGCCCACTGTTCCGCGGTTTCTGGGTCTGCCTGTGGAGATTCGACGGCGGCAGCTGCTGTCCTACGGGACCCTGCTGCATTGGAGCAGGAGAAAGCTGAACGGGCGGAGGATGAGCGCCAACTCAAACTGCAGATGTGAGCCCAGTTAATGCTAGCAATTTGACTGCCAAAAATTCAACATGAGAGCCAACAAAGGGCCCTGGCAAATTTTGTTTCTATCCTGTCAATATGCTCTTCCTACTTTATGTTGTCGCTACATTCTGCCTCAATTATTGTGTCTATCCACACCTAATCTCTTCTAGTCAAACA